GAAAAGCGAATGGTTAAGAATTTTCCAACTGACATACTTGCTCAACAAAATAATTCTTATGTAAATTCAAGTCTTTTGTTTATTTATTCCCCACTTCTAATGAGGCAGATATAGGCAGAAAAAAATGGTCTAGTATTGATCCCAAAGCTGCAAGAAATCTTCTTCTTCTTATTTGGCGCTGTAACCGCCTAAGCGATTTTGGCCGAGTCCAAAACAGCACGCCAGTCATTTCTCTTCTGTGCTAACTGACGCCAATTGAAAATGCCAAGTGAAGCCAAGTCCTTCTCCACCTGGTCTTTCCAACACAGAGGAGGCCTTCCTCTTCCTCTGTTCCCAGCATCGCGGCCCGCGTTGAATATTTTCAGAGCAGGAGCGTTTCTGTCCATCCGAACGACATGGCCAAGCCAGCGGAGCCGCTGAATTTTAATTCGCTGCACTATGTCTATATCGTTGTAAAGCTCATACAGCTCATCGTTAAATCGTCTGCGATATTCGCCATCACCAACGCGTAAAGGTCCGTAAATCTTTCGCAGAATCTTTCTCTCGAAAACTCCAAGAGCCGCCTCATCAGATGCTTTCATTGTCCATGCTTCCGCGCCATACACCAGCACAGGCATGATGAGTGACTTATAGAGTGTGATCTTTGTACGACGAGAGAGGACTTTACTTCTCAATTGCCTACTCAGCCCAAAGTAGCACTTGTTGGCAAGAGTGATTCTCCGTTGGATTTCAAGGCTGACATTATTATTGGTGTTAATGCTGGTTCCCAAATAAACGAAGTCGTCTACTTTTTCAAACTTGTAACTGTCAACAGTGACGTGGGTGCCAAGACGCGTATGCTCTGACTGTTTGTGTGCTGACAGGAGATACTTCGTTTTGTCCTCGTTCACCATCAGACCCATTCGCTTTGCTTCTCTATCCAATCCCGAGAAGGCAGAACAGACGTAGCCCTTGTTTTTACCGATAATATCGATGTCGTCGGCATACGCCAGCAATTGTACGCTCTTATAAAGTATTGTGCCTGAGCGGTTCAGTTCTGCGGCTCTTATTATCTTCTCCAACATAAGATTAAAGAAATCACACGAAAGGGGGTCCCCTTGTCTGAAACCTCGTTTGGTATCAAACGGCTCGGAGAGGTCCTTCCCTATTCTGACGGAGCTGGTGGTATTGCTCAACGTCATTTTACACAGCCGTATTAGTTTCGCGGGGATACCAAATTCAGACATCGCGGCATAAAGGCAACTTCTCTTCGTGCTGTCGAAAGCGGCTTTGAAATCGACAAATAGATGGTGTGTGTCGATCCTATTCTCGCGGGTCTTTTCCAAGATTTGGCGTATTGTGAATACCTGATCTATGGTGGATTTTCCAGGCCTAAAGCCACACTGATAAGGTCCAATCAGCTCGTTGACGGTGGGCTTCAGTCTTTCGCACAATACGCTCGATAAGACCTTGTAACCTATGCTTAGAAGGCTAATTCCGCGGTAGTTGGCGCGTATGGCGGGGTCGCCTTTCTTGTGGATTGGGCAGAGCAAACTTAAATTCCAGTCGTCGGGCATGCGTTCATCTGACCATATTCTGCATACGAGCTGATGCATGCACCTCATCAGCTCCTCGCCGCCGTACTTGAATAGCTCGGCTGGCAGGCCGTCAGCTCCAGTAGCTTTGTTGTTTTTCAGCCGCGTAATCGCTATTCTTACCTCGTCATAGTCAGGCGGTGGGACAGCTACTCCATCTTCATCGACTGGGGACTCGGGTTCGTCTTCCTCACTACTTTCAGCGCTGCTACCATTCAGTAGGTTATAAAAGTGTTCCCTCCACAATTTAAGTATATTCTGGACATCGGTCACTAGGTCGCCATTGTTGTTCTTACAGGAGTTCGCCCCGGTCTTGAAACCTTCCGTAAGTCGCCTAACCCTCTGGTAGAATTTTCGGGCGTTCTTCCTGTCGGCCAGCATCTCAAGCTCTTCGCACTCACGTATTTCGGCCTCTCTCTTCATATTGCGGCAAATACGTCTCGCTTCCTTCTTCAGTTCCCTATAACGGTCCCACATGGCTCGCGTTGCGCCCGATCGCAGCGTGGCCCTGTAGGCGGCATCTTTTTTCTCTGCGGCTTCTTGACATTCCTCATCGTACCAGTTGTTCTGTCGGGCTCGCTGAAATCCAACTACTTCTTCGGCGGCGGTACTTAATGATCGGGAAATGTGGTTCCACTGCTCGCGTACGTCGGATTGTTGAAGAGTGCTCTCAGAGAGCAGGTGTGTGAGTC